AGAATTCGAAATTTCTTAATTGCTACTTAATTGGGGAGATTTGGTAGCAAAATAGTTACTGCTGCCGTAACTAAATTGGGGCGATTTTTTCACAAATACCGTGACTATTTGGTGGTGGCTTTGTGGCGATTTGGTAAAGTTTCAGTGGTGAAATAGCAAAAAAATAAGCATTTTCAGTAAAGTTGTTGTTATTTATCTTTATTATATTCTATTTTGAGTTTTGCTCAATAATTTGATTCTCTATCTGTTGTTGAAACTTTTTCTATTGTTCAGAGTTGATATTTTTGAAGTCAAAGATAATTGTCTTTGATAGTTTTTGTTGTTTCTTCTGTTGTTAAACTATTTTGGTAATATTGATTTCACATATACAGATGTCATGATCATTGTATATAAGCATATTTGATATATTGATATCAGTATATAACAAGTTTCATTTCTGTCCAGATAATATTCATATATGATCTATTCGAGTATATATGTCTTGTGAATTTGACTAAGTAAATCTGCATCTTGTTAATCATGTTTCTCTGAATATGTTTATGTGTTGCAAGTGTATTAATAATAACAATATTATTGATATTGGTAACCTATTTCTTTTTGCTAGGTTTTTGTCCATATATGGATTCATGAGAGTATTAAAATCTTTAGCTATAATAATATTCCAGTCTTTGTTTTGCCTTTTCAATACTCTTTCTTGTATCCATTTTGCTATTGGTATGTGTTTTAGATTTTCTTTAAATAGAATATATGCTCCAATGATACTGATATGTTTTTTCCCTTTGAATTGCAGATCTATACAAATTTTTTTACCATTCAGAGTTTTGATTTCTTCAATATAGTTTACAATTTCTTTCTTAATTATTACTAGGATTTCTGTTTCTTTCCTGCTGTTGCTTCAGAATGTATAATATTCTTGAAATTTCCAATATATGTTTTTATTGGTTTGTATTTTGATTTCAGTAATAATTGCAATATCGATTACTTGGTCTTGGCAATATGTCAGCCAGCAGTCTCTTTTAATTTGATTGTTGAATTCTTTGACATTGTATATAATGATTCTTCAGATAATATCCTGTGTTTAATGATTTATTGATCCTGTCGGGTTTTTGATACTTCTTATTTACTTTGTGCTATGTCTTGTAAATAGTTGTTATATGTTAATACTTGTTGTTCTAGTTAATTGAATTTTTGTTGTTGCCAATAAATTTGTTGAGATAGTTTATGTAATTTATTTTTTATTGTTGTTTTTAATTATCTTGGGATTGTAATGGTTTGTTTATTATATTGTCTATAAGTTGGTTAAGTATGCTTACTACTGTTTGAAATGTATTGTCTATATTTGCTATCTTGAAGTTGAGACTGTGTTATTAGATCCTAATATTACTTGTATCTGCTGCTAGACTTGTAACTGATCTTTTCTTTTGATAGTTGAATTACTAAGATTTGGGGGTGGTTAGCTGAAGTGGTTCTCCTCCAAGTATTTTTTACCATCTTCAATTACTCCTTCTATTTGATCTTCTTTATCTACTATATAGAAGAAAGCAAAGTTTTCTAAGTACAGTAGAGTCTTTCTAATTTAATAACTTTGGGACCAGGCAAATCCTATTAATTTAGGGAGATATTAAAATACGGAGATATGTCACATGACAATTATCTAGACGCTTATTGGCTGTGGCTATATTCTATAAATGTGTTTCATTTTTTTTTTTCAAAAATATTCTAAAACAAATCTGACTATGGCTATATTCTATAAATGTGTCTCATTTTTTTTTTTCAAGAATGTCCTTAAACGAGTCTAACCGTACAGCAATCTGTTGAAAGAAACATGATGAACCAAGTATCACTCAGGCAGAACTGGTCAACTGGGTAAGGGAAACACTCAGCAAGACTATTATACAAGAAACAATTTCAAATACACTTAAGTATTCCACTGAAATTTTGACTGAAGATATAATAATCAATGCCAAGTGGCAACGTCAGCATAAGGTCATATACCCCAAACTTGAAGAGTATCTGTTTGAGTAGGTTTTGAACTTTCAACACATGGGCAAATTAATTGGAAAAACACTTAAGGTCAAGGCCGCCAAAATTATATCACATCTATACTCGGATAAAACAACCTTAACATTTTCAACAAGATGGCTTCAAAAGTTTAAGAAGTATCATGGCATTCGGCAGTTTGTTGCATATAGTGAAAGTAAATCAGCAGATACTACTGCTATCAATAATGCACTGCCTGACCTGCACCATTTGATCTCAACATATGTACCTAATTATACATGTGGCATAAATTATTTTGCTGTTGACTCAATTCCCCAAATCCTCAAAAATAATTGTGTCATAATTCAATTATTTATATGTTTTAATAATGACTCAATTAATTGCGTCAAATAATTGCATCAATTGCATCAAGGATCTATGAATTTCAGCAACATGTATACACCTAATGACATGTTTAATGTTGATGAAACAGATTTTTTTTTTGTATGCAAGCAAGTCGATTTTTGGCAACTAAGCAGTTAGAGGGTAAAAAGGTTGACAAGCAATGCCTGACAGTTGTGGCATGTGTAAATACAAGTGGCTCTGAAAAGCTCCCACTCTGGATTATCGACAAATATGCTTGGCCTCATTGTTTCAAACATGTTAATATTCATTTACTTGGCTATAAATATAGGACTAATACCAAAGCATAGATGAATGTTGCACTGTTTAATGAATGGCTGCACTGGTTTTCTACATGTATGGCTAGACACCAAGTCCTACTTTTAATGGATAACTGTCCAGCACACACTGCAGGCATACTTGATATTGCCAATACAGAGATTAAGTTCTTGCCACCAAATACAACATCGAAACTGTAACCATTTGATGGCAGGATCATAAGAACACTAAAAGTCCATTATTGTTACCGTCAGGTCTTGCAAACATTGAAGCTGTTTAGTATGGGCTTGCAGGCTGAACAGAGTAAACATGATATACTCAATGTGATCAATATGATAGTGCCTGCATGGGAGCTGGACGTGACTGCCAGCACAATTGCTAACTGTTGGAAACATTGTGGACTTGCTGATTCACAAGCTAAATGCTTACCAAGTGAGGTGAGCGAAGCAATATTTGAGTTGCAAAATGCACTAGAAAGAATCAGGTATACAGATATGATTCCAGCACAAGAGCTGGTCGATTATGACGATACATAGAAGATCTGTAAAGTGCAGATGGAGGAGGAATTCTTTGCAAACCGAAGTTCTAGAAATTTAGTTGCTAATGAAGAGGAGAGTGAAGATAACATGGCTGAGTACCCGTATTACACATCCAAGCAAGTGCACGAGGCATTGGAGATTATGCAGGGCTATGCAATTCAAAAGGATGATGATAATGGCAAGGGTCACAAAGCTATTAATGCCTATCAGAAATACTTTTCAAGAAAATTAATACAAACACAATATCAGGCATGGTTACCAGACATGTTTACTAGACAGTTTACAAATTAGCTAGAGGGACAAAAAAAAATATCACTTTTTTTCTATATGGGCATTATGTAATACAAATCATGAAAATTTTATATATGAAGTTAAATAAATAAGCCTGATATATAACATACTAAATTTAATCAATTAAACTATCTATCATTATATATAAATTTGCAATGATTAAAATTGTTGAATGTTATTATAAAACTGTTGATCATACATGTACAATAATCTATAATTTGAATCATGTGATGTTATTAATTTAGAAAGACAAATCTATTATAGCAGGATTGAAAATTTTTATTAAATAAAAGATTAGAGAATTATTAGCTTATTGCATAGGTCCAAAAATAAGACCAGTTATTTTTTATTAAATTAGAGAGAATATTAGCTTAGGGAATATTAATTTATAGAGACTCTACTGTATTCTATTCTTTGATTAAGGTTACCTATAGATTCTTTGATGTTTTTGAGCTCTGATCCTATTGCTTGTACTGTTTTAAATACTTCTGTTAGTGATAACTATACAGTAGCAGTCGAAAGTATTATATCACCTGGATATAAAATTTAAAATAATAATATTTCATGACACAGGAGTTATATAGTTACGAAAATAATTTATTTTACTTATTACATTAAATATATTTAATGATGTAATTTTTTTTATACAATAAAAAAATAAAACTAAAAATAATATTTATTTTCGACCTTTTATATAATACATTTCATTTGATCATTTTATTTATTTTCACTTTCTATAAAAAAAAAAAATCTGTGTGCTAAATACAATAAAATTTCGATGATTTCTTGTATATTACCTGATATAGCCATCATTTGCTTTAATTACATCATCGATACAAGTTGGCATGAAAGAAATTAGTGTTTTACATATGTCAACTTCTATCTCAATCCAAATTTTTTTAACAGCTTCTCACAACTGATCTTGTATTCTAAGAGGTATTTCAAGTTTTCTTAACCAATGGTTTATTTCATTCCAAAGATGCTCGATAGCACTAGTCGAAATGGATTTATTCGGCATAATGCCACTCATCAATCATTCGTCAAAAAAGTATATAATTCGATTAATCAAAATTATATAACTTTTATCTTCGGCTATAAAGCAGTGTATAATTTATTCGGCACATAAATAGTACACTTTTTTTAAACCTCATTTTGAAGAAGTTAATATTTCAACAGTAAAATAGATAATTTATTTTTTGCACCAAATATACATACTGTATATATTTTGACTTTTCCGAATTATATTACT